TTTTTTTTACTGATACATCAGTGGAAATGAGCTTACTGGGAACCCTGTGGTGCATTTGGGAATGAAAAAAATATTAGGGTTGGCAAAAATCAGCAAGAAAATTAGGGTCGGTCATGCAACAGGAAACACACTTATTTTTTTGGTTGGCCTAAGTAGTTTTGACTTATTTTCATACCTTCAGCTATAGGATATTTGGCTGTAATCTCCAAGGTTTTTATTCCTGGTATTTCACTCAACAGCTTCTTGGAAGCCTCAGGGACCACTGATGGATTAATGTAACAGATAATTAGAACCGTGCTTTTATCAGGTTTTACAGTATATTATATTCGAGTGCTTTTGGTGCTTTGACAGTGCTGTATCACTGATAAGTGTGTTTTGTTTGTTTTATAATAATATTGAAAGATAAAAACTGTTATAGTTTTCAATGCTTTTTTTTTTTTACTTCTTAACAAAGATAGATCAATGGCTGCGCATAGTTGGCATTAGCGTTACCCTGCTTTGTTTGGTAATACAGCACAGTTCTCGGCCAATCTAAGCACATCTCGCGCTTTTTCCATATGTGGGCCTATATTGTGGAAGGATCTGCTGCTATCCATAAGGGACGCTCCATCCACTGAATCTTTTAAAGGAAAACTTAAGATATTCCTATTTGAGGCATAAATAATTATATTTTTAATTATAGTTAATTAAAAATTATACTTATTAGCTTATTAATATTATAATTATTATTGCAGTGTATAATATATTTATTCATTTATTCACTATTTATTGATGTATTCTATATTGTAAGAGCATTGAGATATTATGTAATGCGCTAAAATAAAATAACTTTTGTTATTATTATTAATATCCATTATAACGAAGCAAGCTATTTTAGCAAAGCAGGGTCTTCACTAATTAAATTTTGAAATAATAGAAGATTATTAGTGAAATAGTGAACTAGGCAGATAGAAGTCCTGGCAGGGTTTTCATTACATTTTGGAATAACAGGAGGAGATCATGGTAGTTTAAGCCAGAAAATTATCAGTAATACCATAGCAATCTCCTATCCCAGACCCTTAATAAAAAACCTGTACAATTTAATGAATGAAAAACTGAGATGCTAACTGCTCACCATGATCAGTGATGTAAGCCGATGGTACAAAACCTGTTTGGTCATACCAAGTGTTTGATTGGAGGGCCACAGCTTTGCTTGCACCCCCCTGGTCAACCCTAAGGTTTTAAAAAATAGAGGAAAAATCATGTTATTAAACTGAAAGGAACAAAATGTGCGCTTACAAATATGTAGAAAATATTTATACTGCCATGGAGGAGGAATGGAATTTCCAAGGGGAAGTGAGAGTCTGAAGAAAGAAAACTGTGTGGTTCCAGAAAATATCAATACCTTTCCATGGAGGAGGAATGGAATTTCCAAGGGGTAGTGAGAGTCTGAAGAAAGAATACTCTGTAGTTCCAGATAATATCCATGCCTCCCCCATGGAGGAGGAATGGAATTTCCAAGGGTTAGTGAGAGTCAGAAGAAAGAATACTGTGTAGTTCCAGAAAATATCCATACCTATCCATGGAGGGGGAATGAGATTTCACACAAACCTCATTATTTCTAAACCAAAAACCATATTCATTTTACCTGATGGCAAAGAAAGAGTCTGGTGCAATACCAACATGATTGACAGCATTACAGACCTGCCACTGCCGCAGTCCTCCATCACCTGCTAGGGCAATACACCCTCCACCTGAAAATGCATAATTATCATTGGGTACTTGATAATAATCATTAAAATAATGGGTACAGACGTAAACCACCCGGTAGTAATGGCAATAGGGCAGTTTTTGTATGACTGTGAAAAGATTATGGCACAAGCTCAATCATGACATGGCAAGGTATGCGCTAATCCAATCACATTGCCGATAATTTACTCTTCATCCAAACAAATGCCCAAAACATGGCTGTTACTGGGCTTCCTGTGTCTTCTCTTTTCCCTCATGGGAAAGCCCACGTAGCAATAAGTTTATGTAATGTACTCATAACAATACATTGAATCACATCTGATACAATAGATATAACGACAATAGAATACAATAGATTTTCTGAATTACATTGACAGTGCTATGTAGGTTCTTCCTCTCCCTCGCCCTCGCTTCAACATACAGTAGCCCATGTGAGATGACACTGTGAGATGAGATTACACTGTGGCCCCTTACCTAGTGCACCAAGTGGAAGCTCTACTGCCCTAAGAGCCTCATTTCCATACTTGTATTCACTCTGCCTCAAATTTGTTCTGTTGAGAATTTGAATTATTGAATAAATCCACAATGCAAACAATATTTAAGTTTACATTCTGACATCTAAACTATTAAAAACTTTACTAAGTTGTTATTATTTATTAATATCTTTATCATAAAATGCATGGATTGCAGAGTGTGTGGAAGGATGGACAATTAAATGGATTCATGAATGGATGAATGAGATGGGAATAGATATGATGGGATGCATGAATGGATGGATGGATGGAGGGATGACATGGGATGCATGGATGGATGGATTTAAATAAATGAGAGAATTTCTTATACATACACTTTGTTTGGAATGCTATCATACTGAGGGGGGAGTGGAGGTATTGGTCGGCAGAAGTCTGCTGCACAGGTCTAGAAAAAAAGGCTCATAATTATTATAAAGTAAAAATCAAGTGCAAAAATAAACTTCTAAACTGAAATTCAATTTGACATCAAGAATTTAACACTAGAGCCTCTGGCTTGACTCGAGGAACTGGGCAAACATAACTCCCTTCATGGTCGTCGTACAATAGATCATTTTCAAGTTCCAAATTACCACTTTGTTCCTTGATTACAGACTCATTTACTCAGGGGTAAGCCTCGAATCAGTGTCTAAATATTCACAAATACCAACAGTAATGTAAAGAATGTACAACTTTAGCAATCACACACAAAGACTTTGAAATTCCATGGGCCTTCAATGGAACACACTGAATATTCTACACAAATAGACCTATCTCGAATTCACCTGACTGGTCACGAAACAATGGTTTCAAGTTGAGGTTGAACTTGATGAATAAAAGAGTCAAGTTCAATCTCGGTCTATTCATGGTTTAAACTCTGAGCAACAGAGAACTCAAAACTGGAGAATTACATTTAAATAGAGTACTACCTTTGTACAACAGCCAGCTTTATTATTTCCCTCCACGTCTTTCTTTTCACTGCATGACTTCATAGGAAAGGCACTTATATGTAGAGTGTTACGACCACCATGTACCTCACAACTAACATTGATAGCTTCTTTCCACTCTTCCTCTGTCTTTCCCTGTGGTTTTTGTCAAACCATTGAGCATTAATACTCCAGTCATTATTTAGGAGGATTAAGTGGGAGAATGGGGGGGTTGGGGTGAGTGGGATGCAGATTAAAATAAGGGGGACATAAATTAATAATTATATACTTACAAAAATTACGTCTCCTTCATCATCAAAGTATTGAAAGGCCCATTGTGAACCACTTGTGAGAGAGAGCCGTTGTTCAAGCTGCAGTACTATAATCGACCACCTTTGATGTAAATTATAATATATTATATGCAATTTTATATTAATGCTATTTCTCATGTATATACATTAGGAGCAATATAAGGAACTTATAACTTGGCTAACTAAAATAAAGGCCGGTTGATCCCCCCTCAACCTTTATTAGTTATTTTTGTTCTTTTATTTGACACATTCACTTACTTGCAACTCGTATTTTCCTTCAATAAGAGGCTTTTTTCCACGGTATTTTTGTCATTTGGAGAATACATACACACATGGACGTGTAAGTCAAGCTCTTTCGCCATTCTGGGGTTGTATTTGTCTTTAATATGGCTCAAAAAAAAAAAAAAAAGCGAACTAGCAACAACAAGAGTAACGACAAGAGTGACACAACATGACCGATCACGTGCCTCATGTGATGTGGTCAAGCCACAGGAAACCCAATATCAGATATCCATCCAGGATCGTGTCTTTACATGTCTTTTACATTATACTATATACATTATAGTTCAATATTTAAGTTCATTTTTTTTGTATACGTCTACACATATATTACTACTTTTAAATTATTTGTCCATATAATATTTTATTATTAATTATTAGCTAACATAATTTTTAACTTATTTACTTAATTTATTCTCGGTAAGTGTCCCGAACTAGTGTGCTACTTGTGGCATGCTAGAAGTTTGACACGTTAATAAAGTTTACGTACGTGTGTGTATGATCGGAAGGAGAGGGATGAGGTAACTGATCCCTAATAAAACTTACGGTTGTAGGGTTTCCCAGAGTCTCTGACGGGGAGGAACGACAACCGAGTAGGATCTGGGAAGGAGAATGCTAATGACTTTCCTTCTTGACAATTTTTGTCTAAAACGAGTGGAAAAAATGTACACTTTAATACCGCTTTCCCATGTCACTTTTTTCACACTTTGTTGATATAAGTTTCTTTTTTGTGTACCCTTTCGGAAATTCGAAAAATATATAGTCCCTTGCAAAATTTGAGAGTTTTGCCTGATGAAAATCGAAACGTGTGATTCTTCAATAGAATTTATGAAGTTATTTGCGGATTTGCACTGTTCAAATAATGGCAGGTCATTGTTGCATAGGAGCATGCGGAGTTGCTTAAATTTTTCCATAGTAGGCAGCCACTTTACAGTCAAAGGACATGAAGCGTGCCCATCTAGAATGCATTAGATTTTTGACATCATTCTTTGTTTTCTAATATTCCGTAATTATTTTCAAAAATCAAATGAAATCTCGAAAACTGATTGCATTGGCTTATCACAGGCTTTAGGGAATTCTTTGCTTTTTGACGTGAGAATTATTTGCGAACAAATATAAACCACTCAATGACACTCAAATACCCACATTTGCGTTCTGTTTTGCTGTGTTCATAATCTTTACATCAATTAACATGGAATTTTGTCCTTTTCAGCACCTTTTTCATCGGTTTAATTGATCAAATAAAGTTTCGATCGAGTAAAAAAGTCTAGGTAAACAGGTAGAGCGTCAATTTGAATCGGAGCTTTAGCTAACGCTTGTTTTCTGGGGATTTAGAAATCACTACTAAAGAACTAGGATGACGTAAACAACCTTCATGTGAGTAAATATTAGCTTTTATTTATTAAAAAAAAATTTTTTTTTCGTTAAATTACATTCAGCTCTCAAAGCTTGTATGGGCTTCCTATGCTATGGGCTGATCTAAATTTCTCGATGAACCGCGTATGAGTGGAAAAAATCCTATTTCAGCACTTCAATTTGAGAGACAAAATTTCAACAATAGAAAATTATCTCTTCAACATTTACCATTATGGATAATCTTCTTCGCAGGCGTCATTCGTTTGGGTCTCCGGTTGCGAAGTATAACAATAGACCCTTTCACGGTTTGCGACGCCATATTGCTTGGGGGCAAATTTACTAAGAAGCGTAGAGGAAAGTGATACGTTTTTCGTTATATTTCCATTCTGAGGTAAATTTTCGACGTTTTGTGACGTTTTTGAGCCGATCGAGTTATTCTTGTAAACCAGTATGATCGAGTCTTACTCCAAACCCCAAAGCCTCCGTCTCTATGAGAACCAGTGTTATCCTGGCTCCATCGGCTCAAAAACAGCACACAAAACATTAATAGTCTGTAATAGTGTTTTGAAGCGAAGCCATAACTCATTGGTGCCACCTTTGTCAACAGCCTTATGAAAATATAGCTAAACTAGCTTATCTATGTTCAAATTCAGCTTCTAGAAAACTTAGCTTTATAGTTAAAAAGAGTCGAAGTCAGCAATTATTTTCATAAAAACCGACGTCACTATAAAAAACGACTAAAAATATTTAATTTTCTAACCAACCGCTGTCATTGGCACAGAGTGCATTTTTCAAGCATAAAAAAAAGTGCTTAACAAAGAAGAATTTTAGTCCGCATCAAAGCGAAGTTCCAGCTTCCAGAAGTTCCAAGTTCCAGAAAATCGACTGAGTGAGTCAATCAATACCACTATTCTTGAACTCCAACTTAGTTCGCTTCAAGGTTATAAGATGAAACGGTTCGAGTTTTTTGCCAAAACTCTTTTCATTGTTTCGATAATCTTCGTAACATACTCAGTTGCTGTAAACGAGTTGCAATTTCAAGACGGGAAATTCATAGTTTATTGGAGATATCTATCTGGATCTCAAGAGATCGAGTTCCAAGTTCGTGCCAAAACAACTTGGTATGTAGCACTTGGACTGACGAAAACAAACTCTGGAATGCAAAGCTTCGATATTTTCGTTGGGGGAGTCGATTCTAGAGGCACAAGTTATCTAAAGGTAACTTATTTTAATTGAAATTTTAAAAAAACTTAGTGAGTAGTAAAAATAAGAACAATATCCGGAACATAATACCATCCATGATGGCGCGCAAATACTGACGATTGGGCATCATCGAAATGTGAAAAACAAATGAAGAAGTCGTATTGAATTCATGGTACAGCTAAATCACAGAGATCGAACCCTGAAACAACCTCTGGGCTGATCAAAGACAGGGCATGGCTAACTAACAGATGGAACCCTGAAACAACCTCTGGGCTGATCTAAGTCGTGGCACAACTAACTCACAGATCAAACCCTGAAACAACCTCTGGGCTGATCTAAGTCAGGGCATGACTAACTCACAGATTGAACGGACTGAAACAACCTCTGGGCTGATCTAAGTCAGGGCATGGCTAACTCACAGATTGAACGGCCTGAAACAACCTCTGGGCTGATCTAAGTCAGGGCATNCCTGAAACAACCTCTGGGCTGATCTAAGTCAGGGCATGGCTAACTCACAGATTAAACCCTGAAACAACCTCTGGGCTGATCTAAGTCAGGGCACAACCAAATCACAGATTGAACCCTGAAACAACCTCTGGGCTGATCAAAGTCAGGGCACAGCTAATTAAGGTGGCTGGACCTACCTTCCACTTTTGGAACGCTGGTGCATAAACGTGTTTTATCCGATTGCAAATCTTTTTTGCACATAAGTCACATAAAGATTGAATTAATGTTTGATACAATTTTTAATGAGATCGGACGTCATAACACGTGATTATGATGAAATATTTGTTTTCGTTTAGAAAATAATTTTAGCCTTGCAGAGCGTTCAACGCTAAAATGCTTCGTACCACATAATTATATACTAGATGCCTCCATTTGTAGGGATTTTTGAAAAAAACTATCTAGCTAATTATGAGATATTTGAGATTATTTAAATATAGTTCATAATCTACTTCAAAACTAAACAATGGATTTCATACGGCCGAAATTAATATTTCAG